GATCAATCGATGAATTCAAAATATCGTCGTAATTGTACCTTTTTCAAATTGTGATTCTTTATCAGCATCGATGGTCTGAACTAACGATGACAGTATATTAGTCGTGGCCAATCCGAAATCTCCTATCTTGACGTGATCATTACTATCGAGAAAGATGTTCACAGGTTTCAAATCTCTATGTATCATACCCTGCTGGTGAATATGCGCCAGACCTTCTACAATTTCCCGAAAGAGCCTCCAAAAACGTTCTTCATCTTCATATAAACCATTATCTATGGCAGTTCTTAATGTGCTTTTCTCACAGAATTCCATTTGTATGTACAAAAATTGTATTTCTTTTACCGTTACATCTTCGCTAGAAGTTTCAGTATCTTTAACATCATTGTTGGAAACGTCCAGCGTTACTGCGCATTTTTGTGATATACCATCTCTTTCGAATTCAATACTATCGGAAGACTCAATATGTAATAATGTTCGCATTCTGTAAGAGACAAAATTCAAATCAGCTTTTCTAATAGTAAGTAGTTTTTCTTTATGCATCACATAACTTAAATATAAAGTTGCATATACGTTAGAATAATATAAATTAAATGAAATAAGTTGAATAAAAATATTAAATATTACAAAGGATATATAATTTCAGAAAAAGAAAATAATCTTACAGAAATGCGCAGTGTTCTTCGCTATCGGAATCAGTCGACGCATCGCTGTTCTCATCGTCACTATCAGTCACATTCGCCCGAGATTCGTACGATATATTCCATTCAACATCGCGTAACGGTGGAGCAAATTTTTCTATCTCATCACTTTCCAGATGCTAAAATTCACGTCATGTTTTTATACAGCGCAAAAGTCTGATTACAATTATATATAATTCAACATTATAAAGTAGAATGTTGTTACGGCTCTTCTTGTTACGAGCGACATAATCGTTATCGTGAATAATATAATTACATTAACTATATCTGCTTTATCCTGCGTAGTAGTTCTATCTGAAGACGTGGTGATCGGTGTAAAATGACTATGCCTGACTGAATCATCCAAAGTAGCACTTTCAATCCACGAATTGTAATAACGTACTACATTTTCATGATTCATTCTAGAGAGCAATTTAACTTCGCGCGTAATGTTCCTATTCAGCTGTTTTTTCTTTGGATTTAATTCTATGCGTTTGATAGCATAGACACCGCCATCTAATTTATTTCTCACTTTCAAAACGTCGCCGAAGGCTCCCTTTCCCAGCCATTTCAGCACTTCAAATTCATTTTGTATTCGCGATTGCCTACCCATCGATGGCAAATGTAACTGAATATCGATATCCGGTTCTTCTGGCTCTAAATTTTTCTCTTTCTCATCGTGATCCGGTACTGAAGGTGATAAACCTCGTGCTAATGGTATTTTTATAAAACCATGTTGTTGCAATTGCTCTGCAGACCAACGCATTCTTTCGTCGTCGATGAGACATTTTGAAATAAAGTCCCTCAAGTGAAGCTAAAAAATTATTTAACTTAGGATACGAGCGTCCACTGTTGGCACTTTATAAGAAAAACGCATGTGCTACACAAATAACAAATTTGGTCACTTACACTACATTAGTGCATACTGAAAGAATACATGAAATCAGCCAAGTTAAATGTAAAAGTATATAAATTTTAAATAATTAAATATCCAATAATGTGACATTGTCACATTATTTAATTATTTAAAATGTTTAACATTGTCACATTGTTTAAGAGAATATACATGTATCATTTTATTGTCAAAGTCTATATTACATATTATTTTATTTTAAAGATTACATTATGCTACTGCATTGAGCATTCAGATACTTCATATAAAGCAGTCTTTAATATGTACTAATTCAGTGTGATATATATACTAATGACAGATTTTTTTCTCACTAAAAGAAAATCTACCTGTGGGATTACTGTCAGATCGATTTCTTCCCCGGATATGATGGTTCCTTTTAATAACGAAAGCAATAATATTCCATATCTGTATATGTCTGCCTTTTTGCCACCTCGGCCTTGAATCGTTGGAAAATCATGTTCAGTCTTTGCTAAGGAATTCGAATGATACATGTCCGACAATCTCTTATCTAAAGAATAATCGGACAATCTTATAACACCCACATGGTCTATATAAATGCTGGTGTCTCGTAAATCTTTATGCACTACATTATTCTCGTGGAGGTATTGCAATGCGTCAAGGACACCCGTCGCCAAATGCCTCAACATGTCGATGTCGACTGGAATGTTTTCCATCAGGAAGAACGAGCACGTGGTACCAACCTACTTTTACATACAATCAATATCATAAACGTAAAAATCATTCTTAATCTTATCAAATATTTCTGCTCCAAAGCAATATATTTACATACCACGAACTCTTGAAGTACGTAAATCACCACGTTATTGTTATTTTGCAAATATTTCATATTTAAATAATGTACAAGATTTGGATGATGTAGTTTGTACAAGTGATTCAGCTCTTGCTCCAAACTGGCAATCTGTTTCATGGCATGATGTATATCGATGGCTACTTCTTGAGTAGAGCAACCATTTGCCATCGCGCATTTCAACGTCCATTCCGTGATAGCTAATAATTCTCCAGTAGTCTCATCCACGCCGGCGTATACTATGGAACCCTTCGTACTGTGCCCCAAGCATTTGCCTCGGTGCACTTGTCTCTCGCCTTTATTACTGTCGAAATGAATGAGTTTAGTACCTCTGTGCTCGCACAATGATCCTTCGGAGCTTTCCGACGTGCTCACACATCGACGTCTAAAACGACTCGTCCCTCGTTCGTGCGGAGATGATGGTATGGATCGAAAGACAATATCAGAATCTGTGGTCAATCGAACTATTTCCTTTCGATTACGCATCTCAGCTTTCAGGGCTTCCTGACGTTTTTGTATGGCATCTTGCAAAACCTGTGGAAATATCCATGATAACAGAAATCAAACATGATAATATCCAATCGAGATACATGAACCAACATATTAAATCAAACCTGTCTTTCTTTATCTTCTTTCATTTGCTTTTCTTGCAACTCATATTGTATTCTTTCTTGATTTCTTGATACCATCTCCTCATAAAAACTACTGTAACTCGGTTTGTTATGTTCGTGCAGATATTTCTGGACATGCTGACTAAATTCAAAAATCATAACTTCACCCTTTAACTTTTGTGCTAAATTTTCGAGCTCAGATGACAAAACTGCAACCTGTTGATGAGACAAGCCTCTGCTGTCTTGCAGTTGAATGGTTGGTACTCTAAAATATGACAAATAAATCATGTAGACGTTATGAAATAAAGACGGTATACATATTGAAAGACAAAACTTACTCATGAGGATATTTGTCGCAGCACGTAATATGCAGATCTATCTGTGCATAAACTTCCGCTGGTCCAGACATACCTTTCTGTGGTGTCAAGGTAACAACAATATCTAGAGGTTGCCATTTCTTTTTATTCTTCTTCCTCAAGTCGCGCAATTCATCACCAAAAATGGACTATTGTAAATGACAAAATAGAATTATTAAGAGAGGTACATCGCGTGGCTTGGAAAATATTACTTTTTGCCACGTGCTTACTTAGCGCGTCATATACCTTCAAGACTTCCAATTCATTTTGCTGCCGAACTTTACATGATTCAACGTGAGACATTTTGCCACGTCGCTATTTGCCCATATCGTACGTAGATTAGCAAGTTTTAAACTAAACAGAATAATATGAAAAAGAGAAAATCCGTAATTAATTCCGGCACGTACGTGATTTTAACGTCGAGACTGTGTATACATGTTATGTATACATACAATTTGCATACGCGTATTCCGTCAAACGCGTGAATGACACACGTGCGGAAAAACGCCGCGATCGATCGGAACCGGTAACCTCTGCTCACTGGATTCTTTATACGAGACTACATTGTGATCACGGATTCACGATACTTCTGAGTACTCCGTAAAATCGTTTAATCTTTAATCCTAATTCCTTAGGGTGGAGTCCCATGAAGCGTATTTGCCGCATATCGCGTAACCGCGTAACCAATCAATAATCAGTAAAACGCGAAATCACAACAGCGAATCGCTTCTGATTGGTTACGCGGTTACGCGATACGCGGTAAATACACCTCATGGGACTCCAGCCTTATTCCTTTTATTGTGCTGATATTATCAACTGCAAGACTTGAAAACCTTCTTTTTTGGTGGAGTACTCACGTGCTCCACTTGTATACTTTTTCGCAATTGAGAAATGGGTAGATGAAGACTAATCGACTATAAGTCCGGATCTACAATAGGTGTTTTATGCCTTATGCCGTAAGAAACTGACCAATTACAGTCGAAT